AAAATAAATGAGTAATTAAATTATAGTACTAATAAGAGTATAAAGCTGTTGATTAGTGTTAAGTTATCATTTTGATAATTTTCATTGAAAATAACATATTATTCTGATGATACTTCTTATATTTATTTCATTCTTATAATGTTCTTTTTGTTCTTTCTTTATTTCTTAATTCTAATACAAAGCAAATCCAATTAATTCAATTAACCTGATTGTTTCTTACACTATTTAGATCAAAAATAAAGGTTTGGTTAAGGATGTAAAAGAATTATTTGTATGTATTTCAAAATAACTTCTTTGACAACTAAACCAATTTCTTTTTAGAAATTCATGTCTTGTTATAGGTAGTGACTTCTGCATTGTGTGATTTGTTTTCTCACAAGAAATAGAGATATTGTTATGAGAAATGTGTATTAGTCTTAAAGGTTCATTTTATTTACATTTTATTCTATTTTATTGAGAATTATATTGAAGTGTTAATTAATGAATTTGTAATTTCTTTCTTAGTTTAGGCGTTTTATTTTGAACAATCCATTTCTCTATCACCATTCAATATGTAATAACGTAATGAAATGAAAAATCAACTTTGTTTTTCGACAGTTGACAAGAACTTATTAATTTATTAATAACATCTTGACAATTATTGAATTTTTCGATACACGTCATTCTGGTTATACAACAAACTAATCCAAACACAATGAAGTTTGAAGCAAAGACAAAAATGAAGAAACAAAAAAGACAAGTTTAGAAGGGAAATGAAGGATATTTAGATTGTACAAACCTATTTATTTTTAATGAACAAACCAGCACAACCAAATGGACAAGGACTTTTTCAAAAAATAACAGACTCCATCAAAGAGTCTCTTTCTCAAAGTATTGGGGTATATGCATCTGCTTATGGAGAAGTATTAGAATTATTAAATAAAGAATTTGGTGTTGATGCCATTAGTTCACTTTGTGGACTTCTTTTATTAGAAGGACTTCCAAAACCAGACATTCATGACGTACCAATAATCAAAAATAAAGATTTCTATTATCTTATCATGAAACTTTCTCGACATGTAACAGCAGCCTATGGAAGCAAACATGATTCTACATATACGTTAGTTAATGAAGAAGAATGTAATGAAGAGGCTAAAGGATATAGTCCAGAAGAAATAGAAATTGCAGCAATTTGTAGTAGAGCAGGGATTTATCCAAATATGTTATTGAGTTTAGTCACATCTCCACCATTATTTGTTGCATCATATTATCTTGCTCTTGATCCGTCATTACATTCATTAATACTTTGTATAAGAGGAACTTTTTCTGTCAATGATATTGTTAGTGATATGATATTATATGGCTCTCCTTTTACATACAACGAAGAAGAGGGTATAGTACATACTGGAATGTATAAAACAGCACAAGAAACATTAAAATATGTATTTCCTTCATTAGAAAAAGCAAGAAATGAATATCCAAATCTAGATTTAATTATTACAGGACATTCTCTTGGAGGAGGAATTGCTACATTAATTACTCTATTTTTAAATGAACAAAAACCTGAATGGAATATTCATTGTTATGGATTTGCTCCTGCTGCTACATTAAGTGAAAACATAGCAATGATGCCAGAAGTAAATGAATTGGTCACATCAATTGTTTTTGATTATGATGTTGTTCCATCATTATCTCTAAATTCATGCAAACGTCTTATTAAACGAATGAATAAAGTGCTTGAACAAGTTGGTTTTGATTATGTTAAGTATATAGCTAAACTATCACAAGGAATGAAAACAAGTGAAGCAGCAAGACAACTTGTTGAAGAATATGGGAAACCAATTGATGATTCTATTGACGTTATAATTTCTCCACAACCTCTTCTTCCAGGTGGAGAAGTGTACCAAATACTAAGAGAATCAAACAATATGTTTTCTCTTCAGTTAGTGGCAAATAATGTATTTGGGGAGATTAAAGTATCAAATAGTATGATTGCTGATCATTTGCCTACAAATTATATTATTGCAACAACAAAATTATACAAACAAATGACAAATGAACAAATTGAAGAAGATAGAAAGAAATTATTTGAACAATGTCTTGAAATGGTATAATAAAAAGAATACATTACTTACATAGATATTGTTTTTATTCATTGTTAATATTTATATATTCCTTTTTTTGTTTTTATTTTGAAACAAACTAAGAAATAATTTTCATATTTTATCTATTTTATCATCTATTATTTCTTATTATTCATCATATCCATCAATGGAAAAAATACAAAAAGGATATTCATTTATTGCTAGTATTGGAATAATTATTAATTACAGTATTGGTGTAGGTGTCTTTGGATTACCATTTTCATTTTATTCTGGAGGATTACCATTATCAATGATATTAACAAGTGTGATGTTATTATTAACACTAATTACATCTATGTATACCATTGAAGCAATGACAAGAACATGTAAAAGAAAAACAAATAGTGATGAATTAGATCAAGAAATTTATGACTTTACTTTAATATCAGGAATGTGGCATTCCAAACAAGGAAAAATATTAACAAGTATTTTAATTATTGTTGTTAATTATTGTTATCTTTGGGGATATGTTGCTACTGGAAGTAATACATTAATGACAATGTATTGGTTATTTAAAAATCAACCACAAATGTGTGATACTCAAACATGGAATTCACAATGTAATTTATCATATTACATTTGTGTTGCTGTATTTATGATTCTTACTGTTCCTTTAGCTTATGTTAATTTATCTCAACAAGGATTTCTTCAATTGTTTATGGCATTTTATAGAATAATTATGTTTAGTATTTTATTAATTACTATAACAATACAATTATTCCATGGTCCAGTACAACTTGGTAATCATAAAATAGACACAGCATGGACAAATGAATGGAAATGGGGAAATTTTGGTATTTTATTTACTCATATCTCTGTTGCATTCAGTCTTCAATCATGTTTACCTGATGCATTACAACCAGTTGGAAATAAAAAACAAGTTGGTTTAGTTACAATTATTGGGTCATTAATTTCAGGGATAATTTATATTTTGGTTGGTGCTTTATGTGCTTCAGTATTTACTGCATCTTCAACAAATCCAGTAACAATTAATTATGAGTATTATACTGGTAGAAGTGGTGGGTTTGGTATTGGAAATCCAACAATCATTGGTTATATTATTCGATATGCTATTCTTATATTCCCAATTGTTAATATCCTCAATGAATATCCTCTTGTTTGTTATACCCTCGCAACAAACATTTCTTCTACTCTTCCTAAATCATATGGTGGTAAATGGAGAAAATATGCAATTATATCTTGTGCTGTCTTTCCACCATTTGCTTTAGCTTGTCTTGTTGGGAGTGTTAAAACAATAGCAAGTTTAACAGGTATCGTCGCTTTTATTCTCAGTTATGTTTTTCCTTGTGCATTTGTATTAGCTTCTCGTAGAATATCAGTTGCAAGAAATGGTATAGAAGCATTAAAGAATAGATTTTATTCATGGTATTCTACAACAACCATCGTTGTGATTATCTTTGTCATTTGTTCTTTTCTTTCAATTATATCTACAACATTTGTGTTATATAACGTTTTTAAGTCTTTGGT